TGTAGTCAGATGACAGACACACCCTTTCCATTCACCACTTCATCTGTGGGAACACACTGAGGAATCAGTACAATGCTGCTTGAGTTTTGTACATGTAACAAGTTCAAATGTAATGAGAAATGATAACAAACTTGAGAATACACATATAAATAACTTATCAATTTGATTTAGTTTTTTAATTCAACAAAACAGGCTTCAGTCACACCATGCCAGTTTATAAATGCTGTAAGTTGCTGAAAAACATAAAGTAAAAGATATGGATGCACGATATATGGCATCTTTTTGATCATGATAGTGACATTGATGCTGCATAGCCAGGAATAATTGAAGCAGAGTCATGTCAGTGATCTGGTTGTTTATTTACGGTACCAAAAAAAAGACACAACTGTCTTTGTGTGTATATGTATATTATAATTTGCGTGTTTGTGTAATATCAGTAAATATATCAGTAAATATCGGTTATCGGCCATAATAGCAATAATTATATCGGATATCGGTATCGGCTAAAATTTTCACATCAGTGCAAACCAGGGCCCTCATGCATAAAGGATTGCGCAGCTTTCACACTAAAAGTTGACGTACGGACAAATTTAGAAAAGTGTGCCACACCAAAAAATTCAGATGTATAAAACTGTGCGCACACATGTTCCTGCGCACCTTTCCTTTATACATCCCAATGATCGTGGAACTGAGCGCACCTGAGACACCTCCCCTGACTCGCCTCCATTTAAACATGTTAAATAGACGTAAATGTGTCCAGCGTGTGAGATTCTCCTCAGACTCCTCTCTGTGGGGTCAGAAATGATGTTTAGATGCAGGAAAATTATACATTAAATGGAGAATGAGTGAGAAAACTGTTTTAATAAGTAGTGGAGTGTCATTGTTTTATGTGGCGCATTTGCACGGGATAACCAAAGCCTGAGATTTTCCTGAAATTTACAAACATCTCCCGAATGTGATGTTGAAGCCTGGTTAGTTGTTGCCTATTTAGTTGAACACGACGTTGAACGGACATTTAAAAAAATAAAATAAAATAAAAAAACAATAAACATCACATTATCCACTTTTACTGCTCTCATTTCCTCCTGCGTTACAGCAGGCGCTGTCATCTCCACGTACAGACCCCCACCCAATCCCCACGCGCGGGTATGAGTGGTAGCCTGCGGATTTTTAGCAAAAAATATAGATTTTTGAGGCTCATTAGACAGGTAAATGTCCAAAGGGGTTGACATATATGAACACCTTCCCAGCTGGCGAGGGTGCACGCGCCTGGCGCAAAAATACAAAAACAGTTTACGACTGGACTGAGGTTATTTTGATCATTTTTAGACTGATCTATTTTCTTGTCTGAGGTTAAATGATTTTCAGTCCTGGAGTTCAGTTTCATGATCGTTTGAGTTTAAACAATAAAAACTCAAACTAAGACGCTCCTTACATCCAGAAAACAGAACAGTCATATTTCTGTGGATTCAGGTCAGATTCATGACTTTGTGGGTTAAAACTGTCGACTGAAAAACTTTGCGTGGCTGCCGCACATTCTCACGGCAGGTTAAAAGTGTGCGTAACGCAACGTTGGTTTTGATACATCACAACGTGGACGTAGAACCTGGCGCACGTAACTTTTTTGTGCGTACGCACCGTTTATACATGAGGCTCCTGGTCCATTCAGACTTTCAGACCTGCCTGAGTTACACAAAAAAATAATGAAGAAATAAAAAAAAATAAAGAAATAAAAGTAAAGAGATAAAAACGAAAAAATGCCACCTTTTTTTTACACTGAAAGCGATGGGAAACATGCCTCTCCAAGCTTTCAGAAGTGATCTGCATGAAAGGTAAATCTGTCACGGGGCCTAAAATCTGTCACTTTCAGCATGGAGCTCACAAGCAGAGACTTTTACAGGAATGTTAAAAATGTTTGCATGTCTTTAGAATGGAGGATCATTAAGAGTGATACTATCAGATGTGCATTTTTTTTTTTTATTCACGCAACTTCTTCATGACCCCACTGCTTGTCAGAGACTTTTGTCAACATGGTCATGCACTAATGCAGCACCACCATACACTGTGAAAATACATCAGGGCTGCAGGCAGGAAAACCTGCTCTTATATCAGCGTCGTCCATCTGCTGTACAAGAGACGCTTTCAGCTTTCACTGTCATTCAGCACCAAGTTTATAAAAGGTTTGTTTGAAGGACGGACAGTAGAGGGCAACATTTCTGCTACTTATATATACCTTTTACTATTATAAACTATAAATTATGAAATAAATATATTGCTTTTTAAATAGAGGAAATTCAGAATATTATATTGCTGAAAACAGATAGAAAGGAGGTTGTATACTCTGGCATATATTTAGAAATCTTAAGCAAACTAAAAGCTTGATACCCAAAGTACCTTTAACTACCACAATTTTGTTTTATAGCAGGATTTAAGTGACACTTTTGATGATCCAATGTCTTATAAAACCCAAACTTCGCAGCTTACATAAACAACATGAGACCTGTTGAAGTTAAGAAGTTAATTTCAGTCTCCTGCTGGTGCAGCAGCTACAGTCATTAATGGCATTTCATGTGGCCAAAGCTTCAAATAACAGCATTCAAGATGCTTAAAAAAATTAAAGCACTGTTTGTTTCATTTGGTTTTAGTTACAGAGACAGTTGGCCTTTATCACCTAGAGGTGTTTGTTGGAATACTAATTGGAGGACAAGAAAAAGACCCATTGATTACGGAGCACAATGGTGAAGCAACACAGGGAAAAAAAACAAAACAAAACAAAACAACAAAAAAAAAAAAAAACAGAGGAATCCTGTTATGGCATCCTTTTTTCCACATTGGACAGTGTTTGTGTGGACACCGCCTGCTGCTGTCACTGCGCAAAGACTGTGACCCTCACAATGCCACCCTTGTGTCTGGAGGCAACAGCGGCAGAGGAAACTAGATCCGACCCAATGTTGTCTCTCACTGCCCCCCCCACCC